AATTGTAAATCCAATAAATCGTTTATAACTGTAAACAAAATGTTTCTATATAAAAATATATTATTCTGGAGTATTCAAACAGATATATCCTGCGTTTGTTTAAACAAACAGTATGAGCTATTAAAAGCGTGATTCAAGTGCGAAGGAGCTAATTATCTTATGAAAAGCTTCTGTTTTTTGCATTTGAATGAGCGGGCTTTTAAAAGAGGCTTAGGTTGTAGAAGGAATGTCAGCAGCAGGTCTTCCTGTTCTCAGTCAGCACTTTCCTCACAGGCATTTCCTTCTCTTACCGCTGTTTGACAGGCCTCACTCTGTTAACCCCGAATAAAGGAAAGTGCAAATGAGCATACCTGTGGCTACAGACACGACGCTGCCACCCAGGCACCCCGAAATAGTGTGCAGAAAAATCTTTCCCCGCGGCAGAGTTCATGATGAAACCCCGGAGCCGCTGGTCTGTTATCAGCCAGCTGGAAACGAGCATTGTTCAGAGGAGCTTTCCAGTGTTCAGTCGAGTAGTGAAAGACTAATGGCCTAGCAGAACATCAACAAACAGCCTTTTTACATTATTGAGAAATCTCCGAGGGTTGAAAAGGCACGGCGTGTTTGTCTTGATTTGCTGTATTACCACATGAGCTGAGACGTCGGAGCTGTCGGTCTGCTGTGCCGTGTAAAAAATGAGCTGTTGGTTTACCATACTTCTCAATCATGTCAAAAACGATGCTGTCAGTCAGTATGCTGACACACTCTTAACCCTTGTGCTCTGTTCAAATTTACTACCCTTTTGTTTGAGATGAAAACACTAAATTAAACTGCTGTAACACTGCATCAGATAGACTTTTGCTATTTATTTATTTATTTATTTATTTTGCATAAATCTTTTAATCAACCTCAGTCCTGATCAAAACTAAAAAATTAAAGGATTTTAACTCTTTAATTGGCAAGTTCATAAATGATGTCACTGATTTGGTGAAAAAAACACAAAATGGCGAATTTTCAATATTAAAAGTGAATGTGGACTCGATTTTTTAACCTCTTATCACCGTCTTGGACATGTGAACGATTAGTAATAATATTGGCTTCGACGGATTGCATATATATATATATATATATATACACACACACACACACACACACACACACACACACACACACACACACACACACACACACACACACACACACATATATATATACACATGCCCTTTTAGCCCCTTTAAGCTATATTTTTTGATAGAGTAAAAAACAAACCATCATTTTACAATAACTTGCCTTATTGCCCTATCCTGCCTAGTTTACCTAATTAACCTAGTTAAGCCTTTAAATGTCACTTTAAGCTGTATAGAAGTGTCTTGAAAAATATCAAGGTTTTTTACTGTCATCATGGCAAAGATAAAAGAAATCAGTTATTAGAAATGAGTTTTTAAAACTATTATGTTTAGAAATGTGTTTAAAAATCTTCTCTTCATTAAACAGAAATTGAGGGAAAAAAATAAACAGGGGGCTAATAATTCTGACTTCATCTGTACGTATATATTCATTTATATATACAGTTTAGGTCAGAATTATTAGACCCCTGAAATATTATTTATTTATATAATTAGGGTGGCGCAGTGGCTCAGTGGTTAGCGCTGTCGCCTCACAGCAAGAAGGTCGCTGGTTCAAGTTCTGAATGGGTCAGTTGGCATTTCTGTGTGGAGTTTGCATGGATTTCCCATGTTTCCTTCGAGTGCTTCAGTTTCCCCCACAATCCAAAGACATGTAGTATTAGCGTTGAATTGAATTGAATAATCTAAAGTTTGTGTATAGGTGATTCCTAGTAATGGGTTGTGGCTGGAAGGTCATCTGCTGTGTAAAACATGCTGGAATAGTTGGTGGAAACTAAGCCGAATGAAAATAAATGAATGAATTTGACAGAATATTCCCCCAATCAGAGAGTCATAGCAAGCAAAAGTGGAAAAAAATAAGAGTAATTTAGCTGCAATGGTGTGATTGATCAGAGTTTCTAAATGCATGCACACACACACACACACACACACTGTTAAAATAAATCTCTGCATGGGCTCTAACAGTGCACAGGCCATATGAACCACTGTTTTTATCCTGTAATATGGAACTTAATTATATACTTAATAAATGTCTTAGTTATCCTAAAAGCCATTCTTTTTCATTAAAATGTAATCATAGAATAGGAGAGGACATTATTTATAATTATATATTAGGTCAAATTAAAAGACAATTAAAGTCAGTTCATCATTTATTTATAGAAAATGACAACACTGATTTATGTAATTCTTTACAATAACAGAATCCCCATAATTACACTGACGATCATGTAATCATATAATATACATAAACCTATAATAAAGTCATATTTAATAAGACTTATGTTTGTGATGCACGTGATTTTAACTCTTGACTTTAAGACTAACCAGACATGATATTTAATGAATGAAGTTCAGTATGCGCATTAAAAAAGCAATGTCGTTTTGTTTTGACAAATCATGTGATGACAAAAATGTGTGCAATGGGATGGGATTCAAGGGAACCTATTATGCCCCTTCTACAAGATGTAAATTTAGTCTCTGATGTCCCTAGGGTGTGTATGTGAAGTCTCAGCTCAAAATACCTAACAAATAATCTATGATAATTAACTACAGTCACATTTATTGAGATTGTGTTTGTGATACACTTGATTTTAACTGATTTAAGCTTTAGACTGGTCCAGATTAGATTTTTTTATCTCTATTCCAGAATAAAACCAACCCACCCTCTTGAGGGTAAAAACTCAGCGTTAGCTCAAACTAACCGCAAACATAGCTGGGTAAAAACCCAAACTTAAAATGCAATATCCGACTGCTCAAACCAAATTCTGCATTTTTGCTGATTGCTAATATTATATATTCATTCATTTCCTTCAGCTTAGTCCCTTTATTCATCAGGGGTTGCCACAGCAGAATGAACTGTCAACTTATCCAGCATATGTTTTTTGCACTGGATGCCTTTCCAGCTGCAAACTACTGGGAAACACTCATACACACTCACATTCAAACACATACACTAAGGCCAGTTTATCTCTGACAAGTCTTGTTGTCGATCCCAGTTGTAAGAGCAACAAGTAATAGCTTGACTTCTAGTTAATCATTTGAAAAAGTGTCAGAAGCTAGATTTTTCAGATGAATCATCTGTTGAACTGCATCTCAATCATCACAAATACTGCAGAAGACCTATCAGAACCTGCATGGACCCAAAATTTGACTGAAAAATCAGTCAAGTTTGGTGAAGGAAAAATCATGGTTTGGGGTTACATTCAGTATGGGGGCATGTGAGAGATCTGCAGAGTGGATAGCAACATCAACAACCTGAGGTATCAAGACAATTGTGCTCCCCATTACATTACAAACCACAGGAGAGGGCGAATTCTTCAGCAGGACAGCGCTTCTTCTCATACTTCAGCCTCCACATCAAACTTCCTAAAAGCAAAAAAAGTCAAAGTGCTCCAGGAATGGCCAGCCCGGTCACCAGACAAATGAACATTATTGAGCATGTCTGGGGTAAGAAGAAGGAGGAGGCATTAAAGATAAATCCAAAGAATCTTGATGAACTCTGGGAGTCCTGCAAGAACGCTTTCTTTGCCATTCCAGATGACTTTATTAATAAGATTCATTGCAGAGATGTATGGATGCAGTCCTCCAAGCTCATGGGAGTCATCCACAGTATTCATTCTTTTTCCACTGCACCATGACTTTATATTCTATACTGTATAATATTTCTGTTAAGTGACAAGACTTTTGTCGCAGCAAAGTTAGACCTTACTCTCCTAATAAATAATTAAAATCAAGGCATGATCATATTTTATTTTGGTAAAATAAGCACAATCTTGAGGCTATTGCTTTTCATATAAGCCACTTTTGATATCAAATAATCAACTAGAAGTCCAGTTATAATTTGTTGTTACTAAAACTTAGATAAGTGACAAGATTATTGTCATGTAGTGTAGCTCATTTAATTCACCTATACCGCATGTTTTTGGACTGAAGGAAGGGATGCAACCCACACCAATACAGGGAGAACATGCAAACTCCACAGAGAAATGCCAACTGACCCAGCCGGGTCTCCGACCAGCGACCTTCTTGCTGTGAGGCAACAGAGCTAACCACTGAGCCACTGTGACAACCTAATATATATATATATATATATATATATATATATATATATATATATATATATATATATATATATATATAGATAGATAGATAGATAGATAGATAGATAGATAGATAGATAGATAGATAGATAGATAGATAGATAGATAGATAGATAGATAGATAGATAGATAGATAGATAGATATTATTTATTTACTTAATATTTATTACTTATTTAACAGCACAGCTGAACTTTTAGCAGTCATTTCTCCAGTCTTTGTTGTCACATAATCTTTTAGAATATTCTGGTCTGGTAATTAAGAAATGCTTTTCATTCTTAATGTGAAAATGATTCTGCTGCTTAAAAAATCTGTGAAAACAGTAAAATATTTTTCCAGGATTCTCTTATAAATAGTTGAACACAACAGCGTTTATTGGAACCTTATGTGAATAAAAAACATATTTACTGTCCCTTTTCATACTATTTAATAACTATTTAAAAAATATTAATTTGTTTCTGTAAAAAATACTGATCTCATACTATTTGTGTAGTATATGTAGAAATATGATTATGTAAAAAATAGCATTTCTTACATAAGTCAATAAACAACACCAGTAGGTGAGAAGCTAAAAAAGTTCCAAACAAAAGACGCCACGTTAGTGAAAGCGTCTTGAAATGTGCTGAACTCATTCCACTCTCTCAAACACATGTTGTTGAAGGTTTCAGGAAGAATTCTTGGCAGGGCTGGAATGGAAGCGTTGATCCAGTTTCCGCGTCTTATGACACGCCGCGCGCTTGGTTCAATCCATCCGGATCGTTCTCCTGGATTTCCTGGCGCTTCCTCCTCCTGCCCTTTAGTTACATTGTATCTCCCTTACAGAAAGGAGCGAGGGATCTAGGACTCAACTCAAGGGAAAAATGAATGAATATACTTGAAAATGGACGTGCCGGGATGTTGGATTTATCGTCTTGGAGTTTAGGAAAGGCGCATTTGACGAAAGCTTTGAGATTTAGATCCTGCGATGCCAGTTTCAAGGCAGTGTTTCCATTTCTGAACGGGATCTTTAGGAGTGTGATGGCTGCTGGCCTTCCCTTTCTCTAGTTGCTTGGATGTGTTGGAAAGTGCTCCGCTTTGGGATCATTTCTGGAATTCCGCAGGCAAATCCAGAGGCCTTTCCACCATCCTCTATGGAATGTACATAAGTATTCTCTGGATAGGGGTTTGCGTGCGGGGTAAGTGGCGCTTGGATTAATGCATTTTCTTTTGTGTGTGTGTATAAGTGTGCGTGTGTGTGAATGTATGTATGTGTATGGTGTGTGTGTGTGTGGGTAGGGGGTGGTGTTTTATTGGTGCAGATGGAGATTGGAGGTGCTTTAGCCCGTTAGCTTAGCTCGGTTGTCATGGCTCACACATGCTTTGACCATCTTAGCGAGTCATTTCCTTAAGAGAAGCACGGACCAATGCGTTTGAACCGCGCGTTAGGTGCGGCGAATCGAACAACGAGTACCCGTTTAATCGATTACAACAGGAATATTCGTGTATTTCTTACAAGGTGTGAGAATTAACAAACACGTCGACTTTTAAAACAGCACTGGCTTGTTTATGCCGGAGTTGCAGTTTTCTGTGGAAGAGCTCGAGTATGTTTTGAATGTCAAAGGATGTGTGAGTATCAGCAGATTCAGAGTGAATCACTGCTTTCAAGCACAGAACTCACTCCAGAACTCCATAACAGTCACTCGTCTTCAGAGCAGCACCACACATTAACAAAAGATACCATGGTATAACAGTGGATATTTGGGCACATTACCTTGATTATGTTTTTGGCACGTGAACCATGATAATATCATGTAAATTTGAACAAGTACTTTGATATACCACTGCACAATCCCAATCCCAAAGTAGAATACAGAGTTATTAACCTTTTATTCCATATTTTGTATATGCATTCTTGTTTATTGGTTAAAAAAAAAAAGATTGAATGGTTCTTTAGGGTTTACCACTGTCTGTAGTATAGAGACCCTATGTATTTGCTTTATGATGGTAGTTATAAACTATGTAGCTAATCTACACTGTCTTTCACTTATTCTCCTAAAAATCCTTATTTATGATATTATTCAATATATCTTACAGCATTTTGTTTCTGCATCGATATCGCAATGTGATCATTCTCAATAGTCTTATGACAGGATGTATGCAATGTTAAGTTATTACTTGCATGTATTTTTGATGCCTGTGATTGTATAATGATTTTAAAAGCATTCCGGTATAAGAAATTGTTCCATTTGTGACCCTAATTATAATTAAGTTTATAGCTTATAGATAGTTTTATCATTTAAGTTACTGCACTGGATTATCGTTAGACTCGGAAAACGATAAAACACTTTATTTCAATTGTAAATTTTTTCTTGATTGTATTTATATATTGTTATGGATGCAAATATAGAAATGCACTGCAACGGAAATGTGCAAGGGGACCCCAAAAAGTTTGTAGGTTGTTTATTAGATTTTTCTGGAGATCCAAATAGTAAACATTAATTAATCAATTTCTAGTTTGGAGCAGAAAACATGTCAGGCTAAGTAGTTCAAATGAATCATGGACTTCTGCTCTCCTCATTAGTTTCAAAAACATAGATTTCTTTACAATTTTAAATGACTATCTTTAATCTTGGACATCTTTTCTACCAGAGATATTATTTTCATAATACAAAAAACTTGCATATACCATTGGAACGATATAGCAGAAAATTTTGGAGGTTTTAAAACCTTGACTTTTCCAAACTGCAGTATATCTTGAAAACTGTATCGTCCCATGCCTAGTCAGGGACCCCCAAAAATTGTATTGATTGTTTATTAGATTTTATGGAGATGCACTCCCACTGCAAAATCATCTAACATAATCAATTTGACATTATAAATTCTTTCCAAATAGAGATATTAAGTCTTCTGGTGAAATTGTATTTATATCGCAATAAATATCGCAGAATAAAAAAATATATAATGCAGTGTTAGATCAAATATCGTGCAGCCCTAGTGTACACTAAATCTAAAATTTCAAAGTCTTTTAAGGTAAATTGGACATTATTTGTTGTTGCAGGCACATTTCATTTTCACCACAGATTTACTTCAAATTTCCAAATTAATTTTGTCCCCTAACGTTGACATAAAATGTTGTTGTGTTGTACCATTATTTCACCATAGTTTATCATATGAACACCATTGAATTCTTGGCCATGGTGTTGACTATTCAGTCGTTCAGTACCTTTAATTTTCTTTTCAGCTGAGACTTAATGTGCACTATTCAGTTTTTGTGTGATTGCGAATGAAAATTAAGTGCATTTGGCTAATTGTATCATTTTTAAAAAGACTCAATGATATCATTCCCCCTCAAGTGAATACCAGGATTGAAACACAGAAAAATAAAACATTTCTTAGAAAGTTGAAATAAAAAAAAAAACAGACTTTTATGAACTTTGAAAGAAGTGAATGCAAAAACGTAGGACCAAAGGTACTAAGGTAATACCATGTATTTGTGGATATGCTGCAGTGATTACATCATATGATTTTTGTATGCAAGTTACAATAATATCTTGTTTTGAGCAAGTACTTTGTTATTCCTTCCAAGTACTTTCTAGTACAATGTAAATGCAGTAATATAATCAAACGACCATGGTATTGACATTTTTTATGCCATGTTTTCCCAGGCTTTTAGAAAAAAAGATTTTGCTTGGTTCATCACTTTTGATTTGCTTTATGATTATTAGCTCTGTGACTAACCAACACTGCTTTTCCTTCAATAAAAACAGTAGCATTTAGTGGTATCACCTTTACATAGGGCTAGGCCGATAAGCAATATTATATCGGATCGCGGTACAATTTATCTCAATAACAATGAGAAGCTCTGGACTTTTTTTCTCTATATTGATCTAAGAGCCAATCACACAGCAGAAATGTGCAACAATCCGATTCTTAAGTCGTGACATATCTGTGATGTATGGAATTCTATTTTCGGGTCCAAGCTGCTACTCATTTGTATTGAGAAAATATTTGTTTATGTACACTTTTTGGTCATATCACGCATTAAGGTGAATTTTGTATAAAATCATGGTGTACACATTCATCTCTGGGCTTGCTGAATTACAAATATCAACATTTTTACAAATTATTAAAAAATTATCACTTTCTGGCCATCGGATATTAGGCATGCACATGTATATCACGAGTGTGATTTTCGGAAGTATTACAGCGATTTGTAAACCTTTATTATTACCCATTGTTGAGTCTCCCCATACAGTTTGATATAGCGATTGGACCCGAAAGCTGCTTCGCGTGACATTTCACTTAACAAGCGGATGGGCATCTAAAAGTGTGTTGATATTGCCCTACTTTAAGGACAGTTTGGGAGGGTCTTTTTACCTCCTTTTTCCCAAAATGTCTCTTATTTCCTATTTTTCTATGCTATCTTTCGACTGACCTGTCGTCCCCTGAAATGTGGGATGTTTGTGTATGGTCGGAGGGCTCCAATTTTGCTGCACGTAATAGTGTTGTGACAAAAAAAGGCTCTTCATCATATTCGAGATGTATTGAATTTTCGGCCACCCGTTGAAAATATGTTATGCCATTTAATGGACCCTCTAATTTTTGTGGCTTCAGTCATAGTTGGGGTACTCTTTTAAATCTGGAAGCATTAACAACTTGTATCAAAATATATAGTGTTATCATTCAATATGGAAAATAATAATAAAGATTGCATTTTTGCCTTATCGCCCAGCCCTACCTTCACATCACTACATATTTATTACACTTAATTTCCTTAAAATAAATCATTATTCTGGCTTTCTGTGTTCATAAAATTGCGTTTATGTCTATAAACATTGTATTATCACGTAAAGATATGATATCCTTCTAAATGCTTTGGTCATGTGAGTATATTGGTATGTTAATATGATATGGTTATTCAGACCTACAGTACAGCCAAAGCTGAAGGAGCCTATTGTGTCTGAATGAAAATGGAGTGCATTTGTCCTCTTTAAAACACCAATATCTTGGTGTGAACAAGTACTTTAGTGTTGTAAGCATGTTGTAGGACAATATAAAGTTACAATGGAAATGTTATCATATATCAAAGTATCGTGGTGTTAATATTACATGCCATCTTTCACTTAATTTTCCAACTGGTCCTGGATTATTTAATAATTCCACTATGTTTTAATAAAGTAGAGACCAAATGTCTTACTAATCTTCATTGTCTTGTATCCATCTACATAGAAATGTTTGTACTCTTCAACTGTATAATTCCATTGTAATTTTGTATCAAAACCCAGTTATGTCATCATTTAATGTCTACATTTGAATACAATTTATTGTTACAGGTTAAATTTCACTTTCACCACCGATTTACTTCAATCCACTTAAATATTTATTTTGCATTGTTGATGTTTTTTTAATGAATGTTGTATAATTGTACATATTAAAACAATGGCATTCTTTTACACATCTTGGCAGTGTAAATAAATTTGTATACCAATAAGCTCTGGCTATTGAGTCATATAGTACAAGCAAAGTACTTTACAATCCAGGGAACCTATTGTCCACTAATTCAGTGTGTGTGAAAGGAAATTAAATGTATTTGTAGCATTTATAAGGAATCTGGATATAGTCTCAAATGAAGACTAACACTTGGAAAGACAAACAAAATGCACACTATATTTTTATAAGGAACCATCAGTTAGAAGGAAACCTAAACGTTGTGATCTAAGAAAGAAGTGTAATGTAATTAAAAAGACAGTCAGTCAATGTTAGACTGATCAAATAGACACCCACCGACATGCCCAAAATATGTTGAAAATCATTTAATGAGCACTTTTGCTGTGCACCTGGGGCCGTTTGACATCAGAGTTTGATTTGTTTGGCTAGTATATGAACACCGTTATCTAATCTCTGATGCCCATTTTTGAGATATACTGGAAACCACCAGAGAGGGGTAGTCTGAGGTACAATGAGTGTGATTTACCTCATAGTAGTTTGATTACTAATACATATAACTGTCATTAGGGCTGCACAATATAGTGTTTAAGGATCAATATTGCAATATTCACTACGCAGAATCTATAATTTTGAGTTGTGGTTATAATTAGCCAGGAAATTGATCTGGGCACAAGAAATTATATCATTTGTAGCTTTAACAAAGATTAATTGTATTTTTAATTACAATGATGGCTTTACAGTGTTATTT